ATATACCTGTTACTCGTCTGGCATATACTCCAACTGCGAAAATAATGACAATTATAATTTATGTAGATCCCTGGATAAAAGATTGTCACAAGTTACTTTCGGTAACTCACGATTGAAGTTTGGAATGCAATTTCTCAGAAACACGACTACAGATTTTCTCCAAAGTGTCGGAGAATGCTATGTACTAGTTAGTGTCAACCATTTATGAGTTTAATAAAATTTTGTCGTATACGACATTTGTCAAAAAATTTGCAGTCAGTTTTAGTGATATACGCCAAAATGTGATAACAATTTTTATAAGTTAACCATACTTTTTACTAATCAGCCTAATCGTGAGTTTCGCCCGAACAAAATTTCGCCAACAATTTTTTCATCCACCTGTAGTGAACACACGCAAACGAAAAGTGACCCGGTTCTAGAAAATGAAACTCATGATAAAGCTGAATATGTCGGAAACTAAAGAAGAACAGATAACTCTATTTAAAAGATCTTGATTAGTTTAGTACGACAGCAATACTAACGCAATTTGTACCAAATAACCGAAAAAATTTTAGTCAATTAGTCGGAAACTAAAGAAGATATCCAAAAACCACAAATTGTCAAAATGACGCTTCCGGCAATTTTCCATCGAGGCGACGATATTTGAATAGCTTTGTATAGTTACTAGTCAGTACTAATTTGTACTGGAACCTGCAAACTTTTACTGGAAAAGTGTATGATAACCCAAAAATTTGCAAGAGAGCACTGAATCGAGAGCGTAACAACACGAGAGAGCTGCAAATTCTTGCTAGTGAAATTTTTACTAGCAGAAATTAGCTAGCAGAAGAAGAAGAAGAATAAATGTCAAAAGAATATATAAAAAGTGGTGTTACTAGCTCAGTTGATTTTGTGTATGTGTTTCGCCGCACGGCTTCTGATATCAAATTGAAAAATTTTGTTTGAATTTCTACTCACACTTACAGGTTTTGACAGTTTATGCCGCCAAAGCAAAAACAAAATACATGTAAATTTTTGTTTTTGTACTCCTGCAATCACCTTATATTGATTCGCCTTGGCACAAACAAAAGTAAAATGAGTGGAAACAAAAATATTAATGATGTACTGGACAGTGTTAGTGCTTGTGTGTAAAGCAAAGAGTTTAAAACTGATTTATAAATAGTAAAATGTTTACAGCAGATTGTCAAAGCAGTGCAACAACTGTTCACTTGCAAGTTATTGCTAGTTTTGTGTTCAATAAGTTCTTCTGCTAGTTTTCTCTTCTTCTCAATTTAACGCTCTATTTTGCTTTTACGCTCTCGCTGCAATGTTACTGTTACTATACAAACCTAATGTTACTCGCATATTTTCGAGCCTGTATGTACATTTTCGGGAAAAAGGTTAAAAAGTGTATCCATCTGCTGAAAAGATATTTTCGCAGATTCACAATTTATTTAAAATAAATCTATTAGCCCAATCTCCAATTCCATGTGAATAAATCTCCCCAGTGCTTAAATAATTTTCACCACATTAAATAGCTGCACAACACCCTAATTGCCGAAAAAGCGTTGCTTGCAAAAACAACATTTGCGTGTATTTTGTTGTTGCTTCTGGTATCGAAAGTGTCAAAAACTGTTCTGAATTTTTTCTTCTAAATCAAAGCGTGCCATGTGAAATACAAAAAATTATAAAAAATAAAAAATTTAAATTGGAAAAAATAAAAATTGATGCAACTTTCTTTCCTATTAAATTTGTTTGCTTCTCGAAGCACTGATCCATCCTTTGCAAGACCCAGTAATCAGCGGTCGTGCTGCCGAGTTGGGCGAACGTTCCAAAAGCTGCTATTCAATAGCTTGTTTTGTATGGAAAAAGGTTTCACATGCAAATGGATTTTAACAATTCAGAATTTTTGTGAGAAAAAATTAAAAATATTTGACAATAATTTGAAAATAAATCAAATCAGCTGCTCTACTGATACTACCTGTTCAATGTACCTTGATATAAATGCAGGAATCCATTTAGCTAAATGCATATTTTGCCAATTTTTTTTACTTTATTTTAATAACTTTTGCCTTTATTACATCACTTTAAACACCCTGTCTAACATTTTGGAAGGATAGTTATACATTTTGACAGGTACTTTCCAGGTAGCTGCCAGGCGGTTTCCAGGCAGAAGAAGAACATTTGTCACTTGTAAGTATGCACAATGATTCAAATGCAGCCGTCCACACATGAACGAAAGACACAAGATCACGTAAGAACAAGAGAGTGAAAAAAGTCGATTTTTTTAGCGGGTTCTACGCCATCTTGTTTCACTGGAAAACGAGCGAAAAGTAAACAAAGCAAAGAAAACAACGAAAACCAAAATTATTGTCAGCCACTTTAAACGCACAATTTAGGTAAAATGATGCAACAAAATGCTTTAAAATGTGTTGTCATGTTTAACTCTTCTTTACTTGAATAAAAGTGTAAAATAGTGGTGCTTGTGATGTAAACAAACGCCCAGCTGACGAACCCGCTTTCGCAAACTTTTTTCTCAAAACCAGTTACAAATACAACGTCGCGTTCTTACGTGATCTTGTATTTTTGGTTCATGCCGTCCACATAGCCAAAATTCGACAACGCTCACCACAGTATACACAGTAATAAACCTTTTTGAGTACTCCTCGGGGGTAAAATCTGATCAGGGCTGATAATGAGAAGGATCATGAATTTTTTTGATTCAGAGTTGTATACAAAATTATTCTGGTGTGAAAGGGGCAAAAACCGTACTATGGCAGAGTGGCACAAGTCATGACTGTGTAATAGTGCCCGAAACTATTGCAAAAGTGTAAAAACATTGCAAATTTTTGTCTATTATTATAGAT